CTCGAGTCCCATGGACAAAAATATGATGTACCACCTAAGCCAAGACTAAAAAAAACATTGTAAATGTAGAGTGTACAACACAAAAAGATAATAAGAGAAAACCCTGAGGCTGAGACAAAGTCAAACAACACACGACACAGCAACCGCGTCCACAAAGACAAAATGTAAGCAATGTGTTTGTGAAAGTGTAGGGAATTTGATGGATACTTTTATAAAGCGTGGTGACCTTTCCCCCTAGACACAACAAAGTAGTGACCGTCCTAGAGGCAAAGTCAACAATGTATTTCCCAAAACGAGAGTTGACACTAGACACTACTGATAAAACAGAGCAGTCTCGTTCTTCCTCTCCTCCTAAACTGACTGGACAGTCTTGTTCTTCCTTCCTCCTCACTGACTGGACAGTCTTGTTCTTCCTCTCCTCCTCACTGACTGAACAGTCTTGTTTTTCCTCTCCCCCTCACTGCTGGGCAGTCTTGTTCTTCCTCTCCTCCTCACTGACTGGACAGTCTTGTTCTTCCTCTCCTCCTCACTGATGGACAGTCTTGTTCTTCCTCTCCTCCTCACTGACTGGGCAGTCTTGTTCTTCCTTCCTCCTCACTGACTGGACAGTCTTGTTCTTCCTCTCCTCCTCACTGATTGGACAGTCTTGTTCTTCCTCTCCTCCTCACTGACTGGACAGTCTTGTTCTTCCTCTCCTCCTCACTGATTTGGACAGTCTTGTTCTTCCTCTCCTCCTCACTGACTGGACAGTCTTGTTCTTCCTCTCCTCCTCACTGACTGGACAGTCTTGTTCTTCCTCTCCTCCTCACTGACTGGACAGTCTTGTTTTCCTTCCTCCTCACTGACTGGACAGTTTTTGTTCTTCCTCTCCTCCTCACTGACTGGACAGTCTTGTTCTTCCTCTCCTTCTCACTGACTGGACAGTCTTGTTCTTCCTCTCCTCCTCACTGACTGGACAGTCTTGTTCTTCCTCTCCTCCTAAACTGACTGGACAGTCTTGTTCTTTCCTCTCCTCCTCCCCTGACTGGACAGTCTTGTTCTTCCTCTCCTCGTCACTGACTGGACAGTCTTGTTCTTCCTCTCCTCGTCACTGACTGGACAGTCTTTGTGGAGAAATTTTCTCCAGGAGGGGGGTATCAGCCCCCTCCAGCCCCCTTCAGCCCCTTTCAGCCCTGAGGGGCCACTCAGAAGGGGCGAGCGTCTTGTTTACTGCTAGAGTGAGTAATTGATCACAGATGCTATGCGTGGTCAAATGACCTCTGCTCCTTGCAGAGGTGTTGCAAAGTGTATTTTTATAAGAGACAGTACATCTCTTACTTAGCAGGACAATTAAGGAAAATCCTGCTCCCACTTTATTACCATAGTAAGTAGTGTACATTGTTGTTTAGATAAGACAGCAAGAAACAACTTTCCCTGCTTTGCTTCATCGAGGAGGGGGACAAGGATGCAAGGTACTAGGTCAGCTTTTTTTTTTTTTTGTGCTGGGGCCCAGTGACGGGATGGAGCCCTGTAGCGTCTGGCAGACTAACTTTGACTCTACTACGAGACACTGACGCCAGGATAACCAGCAAAGGACACTGATCGTGCGTTAGTGTGAATAAAGTGTCTCACACAACACAATAAACACTTAAGAGAAAGTGTGATTCAGCTTTCTCTTGTGATACATTGTGAACAATAAAGACGAATTTGTTGAACATAGTGTACCAGTGTGCTTTTTCCTAGACAATGGAAGACGTGGACATCCAAGGACAATTTTCAGCTTCTATCAAGTCACGATATCTGTCGAAGGTGTTGAGAACACCATAGCTCACGTTACAAAGAGCAAGGTATGTTATGAATTTTTTGTAGATCGGGGGATTGCGAAAATTCTTGAGTCACAAGGAGTTTGTAATCAACCTATAATCGGCAGTAAGGTGTGGACTTTTGAGTCCAAACAAGTAAGTATTCGTCAGCCATCATCAAATGAAATATGCTGACATAAAACCCCCTAGGGTAATTTATACTTACAAATTGTTCTCTTGACAGCCCACTGTTGTGATGGTTTTCGACAGCTTTTGACCTCGCTGCAGGGGCGGCTGTGTAGACGATTTGCTGTCTTTTATCAGCAAAGTGTTCATTATATATAATTATATCTTAGTGGAAAGGGCCCAAAAAATTCTCAACAGAGTTTTTGGTCGTGCTCAAAAACGGATAAAGACCACACTGTGGTCCAAATATGTTGTACTACAGTGTACAAATAACCTATGAGCCAAGGTCCTTCGAAAAAGCTGTAAAACTAGTGTTTTACAATATAAATCAGTATAAATGAGTCCCTCCAGACTCAATCACAGAGAATGGGCAGCCAAAAGAAAACGGGCGCTCACCCAGCATTCACCCAAAAGAAAACGGGCGCTCACCCAGCGGACACCCAAAGAAAACGGGAGCTGGGTGACTCACCCACATCCTGCACCCACTGCTCCAATCTCGAGAAATTGCTGACTAAAGACAACAACACCACCAAGTGATGATGTTGTCTGAGTGTATATACACACAGTGTTTATAATGTTTATAGACAGAAATTAAGAGACAAGATTGTGTTAAAGTTTGTTTCTTATAGATCTACCTGTTATATTAAAGGA